TTTCCATAACAGTGAGTTATGCTAACTTTGCCATTTTAAGGCCACGTTTCCACAACCAATCGGGAGTGTGCTTGCCCTGTGAAATGGCCAGGGCCAATGAACCCGCTTTTAAACTTGCTGCCGTGTTAGCAGACCCGACACTGAGTGAGCTTGGGAACATGCTACACCACTTAAACCTGGGCTGATCCCCACAACCAGTCATGACATCACTCGGTAAGTGTAGAAATGGTATACGCGTATAGTCTGAATTAATCCAAGGCTGATTTAAACCTTGGAAAAAACATAAAATGTAATTCCCAACTGCCATGCAGTGGGTTTGGAGGATCCAAAGGGGGTGGGTGGGGCGAGACAGTGAGAGCAGAGAAAATTACACGGAGCCTCATGGTTTAAGGTACACATAAGCGGGAATGTTGCCAGGCGGCTCAGAGGTCAGAGCATTGAGCTGGCACTATGGAGATCCTGTGGTAGAACCCAGGAATGCCTGCCTATGATTACACTGTGTAACAAAAAAATTGTTCCCGGTAAGTGTTATTTCCGAATTTCTTATGCCTCAAAAGTACAGAAAATGGCTATTATTCCCCACAAACTTTATTTTGTGATCAGGACAGTGATATTTAGAAATTTACCTATTTTCAATGAGAATACGTGTGTATGTGTCATTCCTTCACAAAGTCCTGGTCACAAACGCAAAGTTTGTGGGGAAAAATAGCCATTTTCTACACTCTTTAGGCATAAGCAATCAAAAAATAACACTTACTACCCATGGACAAAAATCGTGTTACATAGTGTTATTAAACCAGTTTCACAAATGTAGTGATTTGATGATTTCAAACTATTGACGAATAACTGCACACATAAAAAACACATCCCATTAAGTGTAGTTCTAGACTTTGACTCCAATATTGCTTTGACTGTCAAGAAAAACTCTCATTTGGCAGCATAGCTAGACAAGTATTGCCCTCTACTCAATAGCCCAGAGGTCACTTGAAGGGATAGCAAATGTATCTCTGAGAACTCTGCTGCCTTAGAGACAATGATCTTCACCTAACAAGTTCAGTTTTCTAAGAGCACTTCAACCTGCTCTTGCCCACCTTAATTTCATGCAATTCGATTCTGGTGCACTTTTTAGTTATTCTTAGGTATGGATCCTCTTAATATATTTCAACTTCCATCTCCAACAAATCTCTATATTTGTTTAGCGAACTTGTACGTGAATTTAGTTTTACTCGTACAATGCATTTTCCTCGAGTCCATATTTGCAGTAATTTTAACAGATCTGCAATGTTTTCCTACAATATCCATTGGTTGACTTTCATCAGCAAGAAAAATGTTCACTTGTGTTTATGCCTCTGTTCTTCCAATCCAATTTGTGAAATAAATCCAACGTCCATGTGCATATAGACTATATAAGGAATATCAAACACCAATACACCGAGCCATTTTATACTATCAAAATGTATTAAACTGTAGAATTTGATGCAGTCATTCAAGCTCTTAAACCAATACAGTACCTACAAAATATATTTAAATGATAAAACCTTTCACAAGGATACAACTACACTGACATTGCATTAAAAAGTGACCACAAGCTTCTCAGAGGATTCAGGCAAAGAGGTGCACACTCGTGTAAAGTTTTATGTGTTTGTATATATAAATCGACCTGCTAAGCTCGGTCATGGAAGCATGTATTTATATAACATATAAAGTAAAAGTTAAAATACAATCATAATAATGCCTGCTGGTTGTTCTGAGGTCACGATGTCCCACATGTAATTGATTTTACTGACAAAAGATGTATCTTATTAACAGAGATAAACATTTGTCAACCGTGAAAGAAAACTTTTACGTAAAACTGCATTTTATAAATCATACCGTATTTAAGTTGCGTGTAACTCTGGGCTCAGCATCCATAGCCACAATGTGGCAGGTAACCACAAGGATTCCAGAGCATCAATGTGTTTGGGTCCAAGCCCGCTTGCACGTTCGCACAACTGCGTCAGGTTTGAGACGATAAAACTCGGCTTGGATGGAGGTGCTACCACAATTTGACGAGGTCAATATACGTGCAGACTCAACTGCCATATGTTCGAAGCAAAGCGAACAAACGTGATGAACGTACAATGATGCAAGCCATAATGCTTGCTAAACTTCGAGCTTTTTTGTGGAATTGAAAAGCAACAAACGAATGCCACATGGGTTCCTAAATAAAGGTGGCAGGACTATTCCAAGATTTAACTACGTTTTGAAAATACTGTAAACTAACCTGCGATGTATCTGACATTCTTAAAAAAGGTATAATCATCTCACAACACAATCTGATATTTGTAAAAACTTCAAATTGATATACGGAAATTATTTTTAAAACAATGGCTGTAAAATGCCATTGCCGGTTAAGCAACCACGGTGGTCGTAAGAAGATTAAACATGAATTGTCAAGATTTACCTCGCACAAATATATACATGTTCTTACGCGAGATATTATTATTGTCTGGAGGACATCAGTTCAAGCATTTATGCAGTTGTTGGTTCACCAATTAAAACCATTTTAATGAGCACATGACAGTTCATGATACTTACACAGCAAGGCAATTAACATTCACGGAGTGTCCACAAACCCAAATGAGGTTCACAGCACAGTGATGTCCATTTTTTTACTCAAACCATTTCCTTTTCATTTTGCTTCGAGTTGCTGCACTTTAGGAAGCACGATTGATCTACTCTTGCACACGGGCACTTTGATCTTAACGGGATCAACTCATAACAATGTGGCAACGCCACTCCCACGGCGGAACGCATTTAAATCGCTCTTAAATCGTGCAGCACATCAGCAGCAATGCTATCTGGAAGGGGCGCGTACAGATGCTGCAGTTAGCCAAGGCCGGTGCTGGCGGAGCGAGCGTGTAGATAAGTGATGGTGGATATAATAAAGGCTGGTGTTGGGAGGCTAGTGCCTAGGGAGGGAGACATTGTTGCTGGGAAAGAGGAGACGCTGGTGAAGAGCAAGAAGGGAGAGAGAGGTGCTAGATGACATGGAGGCTGGTGCTAGGGGATAGAGCGGCTGGCGATGTTGTATCAAGCAGGAGGAGGAAGAGGTGGTGGTGGGAGGGTCATCATCGCTCGCGGTCACCGATCTGGCCCCGACCGTGCACACGAGATTTACTGTATTACCGCTCGTGCACAGCCACCGCGGTGACATATTAATATTATTGCTATTTTATCCATGGCATTACACCCTTAATGCTGATGTTAATGCGGGCCAACAGTCGGGCTGGATCATCGGGTAAGTGTTGTTTTTTTATTATCACAGCCGCTCAAGCCGAGACGCAGTATTAATGGGCGCCGGGCTCCATTCATTCGGGCTCCGCGGGAGACGGCAATCGACAAAGGGCGCGAGATAACCAGAGATCGTAACCGTGAGAGCGATGGTAACCTGACGACGGTAACCGTGACAGCGATGGTAACCCTACTGCGGTGTTCAAACCATGACACCTTTGGAGACGATAATAACCATTAACCATGCCAGCGATGGTAACCACGATAGGGATGGTTACCTGCCAAGAATGAAAATCATGCTTGCGATGGCAACCACGATAGCCATGAGGAGACCGGGATAGTAACCAGGATAACCATGAGGTGACCGGGATAGTAACCAGGATAACCATGAGGTGACCGGGATAGCCATGAGGAGACCGGGATAGCCATGAGGTGACCAGGATAGCCATGAGGTGACCGGGATAGCCATGAGGTGACCGGGATAGCCATGAGGTGACCGGGATAGCCATGTGGTGACCGGGATAGCCATGAGGAGACCGGGATAGCCATGTGGCGACCGGGATAGCCATGAGGTGACCGGGATAGCCATGTGGTGACAGGGATAGCCATGAGGAGACCGGGATAGCCATGAGGAGACCGGGATAGCCATGAGGAGACCGGGATAGCCATGAGGAGACCGGGATAGCCATGAGGTGACCGGGATAGCCATGAGGTGACCAGGATAGCCATGAGGTGACCGGGATAGCCATGAGGTGACCGGGATAGCCATGTGGAGACCGGGATAGCCATGAGGAGACCGGGATAGCCATGAGGAGACCGGGATAGCCATGAGGAGACCGGGATAGCCATGAGGAGACCGGGATAGCCATAAGGTGACCAGGATAGCCATGAGGTGACCGGGATAGCCATGAGGTGACCGGGATAGCCATGAGGAGACCGGGATAGCCATGTGGTGACAGGGATAGCCATGAGGAGACCGGGATAGCCATGAGGAGACCGGGATAGCCATGAGGAGACCGGGATAGCCATGAGGAGACCGGGATAGCCATGAGGAGACCGGGATAGCCATGAGGAGACCGGGATAGCCATGAGGTGACCGGGATAACCATGAGGAGACCGGGATAGCCATGAGGAGACCGGGATAGCCATGAGGAGACCGGGATAGCCATGAGGTGACCGGGATAGCCATGAGGAGACCGGGATAGCCATGAGGAGACCGGGATAGCCATGAGGAGACCGGGATAGCCATGAGGAGACCGGGATAGCCATGTGACCGGGATAGCCATGAGGAGACCGGGATAGCCATGGTTACCAGGCTAGAGACGGGGACCGCGATGCCCGCGATGACCACGGCGGGCGGAGGAGGAATCCGCGAGACGGCGCCGTGTGCTCGAGCATTGCTGCTGTGTGCTCGTGGACGATGATGATCGTAGTGCTGCTGCTAATGTCCATGATGCTACTGCTGCTGCTACAGACGATTAATTTATCAAATAGAAAAGAAAGCGCGAGGAATCCCCGCATGGAAATCCTCGGGCCGCGGCGCGGCGAGGAGAGCAGCCGGGCCGCGCCGGGCCCGGAGGGAGCGCCGCCTCCCTCATCATCCTCCTCCTCCTCATTGCCTACCTCCTCCTTCCGTCTCCTTGCCGCACCGCGCCATGCACGCGGGAAGAGAGGCAGAGAGAGAGACAATGTGTTGAGGTCGCTTCGCGTGGCCGGGCCGGGCTTACCCGTGAGCACGCCGACCCGCAGCCCGTTGCCCTGCATCGCGCGGCCGCCGCTGCTGCCGCCGCCGCTGCTGTTCTCGGCGTCCGCCGCGGACATGGCTCCTCCTCCTCCTCCTCGCGGGGCGGGGCCACGGGAGCCGCGCCAGGGACCGCGAGCATTTGCGCCTCGCGGAGCGGGGAAAGGGGTGGGAGGGAGGAGGGGGTGGTGAGGGGCGGGGGAGTGGTGGGGGGGGCTGAGGGGCGGGGGGAGTGGTGGGGGGAGGGAGTAGGGGGTGGTAAGGGGCGGTGGAGTGGTGGGGGGAGTTGGGGGCGTGAGGGGCGGGGGAGTGGTGGGGGGAGGGAGTTGGGGGGGTGTGGGGCGGGGAGTGGTGGGGGGAGGGAGTTGGGGGGAGGTGAGGGGCGGGGGAGTGGTGGGGGGGGGGGGCTGAGGGGCGGGGGGAGTGGTGGGGGGAGGGAGTAGGGGGTGGTAAGGGGCGGTGGAGTGGTGGGGGGAGTTGGGGGCGTGAGGGGCGGGGGAGTGGTGGGGGGAGGGAGTTGGGGGGGTGAGGGGCGGGGAGTGGTGGGGGGAGTAGGGGGTGGTGAGGGGCGGTGGAGTGATGGGGGGAGGGAGTTGGGGGGGTGAGGGGCGGGGGAGTTGTGGGGGGGGGCTGAGGGGCGGGGGGAGTGGTGGGGGAGGGAGTTGGGGGCGTGGTGAACAGGGGGAAGGGAAGTTGACTTCTTATACTAGTAGGAACCTCCTGGTTACACCAGCCCACAGGGGATTATTGTGTCCGTCCGTTCGTCGTACATCCAAAAATGGGAGGGGTGGGGCTGGGTGGAGAGGGGAGGGGCTGGGTGGGGCGGGTGGGGCTGGGTGGGGAGGGTGAGGAGGGGCTGGGTGGGGAGGGTGGGGAGGGGCTGGGTGGGGAGGGTGGAGCTGGGTGGGGGGTGGGAGGGGTGGGGCTGGGTGGGGAGGGGCTGGTCACCCCGTGGTGCCCTTATAAAACTCAACGTTTAACCTACTTACGCCGGCTTGTGCCCGCCCTCGGAGTCGGGCATATTTGCGGAATACACCACGCCACCGTTGACCCTGGCCATTGACCGAGCAACAAAACGTTCCTACCAGCTCCCTCTGCAGGAATGTGTTTTCGCATGGCTGATGTACGGTAGATGCAACCCCACGACTACAATGTCACATCCAGGTGGTCGAGCCAGACAGCCGCGTCAGGTGGAGCGGAGTGTATCGCTGTGATGTCTCCTTCGTATTTGTGGATCGGGAATTGCGTCGTTATATGTTGTATGGTCTGTTCTGAATGACCACAGTCGCACAACACTGGAGAGTTTTGAATTTTACTTTTGTGCATCAGGTATCCGCATTTGGGAAGGTGACTTCTTTCCTCGATTCGTAAAACTTCCCGGAGTGTTGCATCGTTGCGGCGGATGGGTGTGGGAGAGATGGTGTGACAGCACGGACAGCCAGGGTGTGGGGTCGACTTGAGGGTTCCAGTGATACACCTTCACATTGCAGTGTTCAGTTGGACATCAACAGGTCGAGTGGTGGCTTACTTCTCGTCCATACTGGTGCACAGTATTCGGCTGCAAAATACATAAGGGCCCATGTTGATGTCCTTAGCACTGGGTGCTTGCCAATCTGGACCAGGTTGACCCCTTGTTTTGGTCTTGGTGGCTAGGGAAGTGGTGAGGGTAGTGGAGCGGGGGGGGGGAAGTGAGGGGGGATAGTGGATGGGGGGGGGGAGAAGGTTTGAGTGAGGGGATTGGGGGACTGGGGAGTGAACTGCAAGAGTTGGAGGGAAAGGAGGAGTGGCTGGCAGGGGCAGGATTATCACCTCAATGGAGACTCAAACATCGCATCTCCTGGCATTGGCATTCCCCTTCATCGAAGACACCGGTGGTCAACCATCAACTGCATTAGAACATTAACAGTGTGTTGCGCCCATCTCCTTCATCCATGGAAAATTAAAGACGCAAGCTACAGAAGCGTGCCTGAGGTCATGGAACCCGACCTACGGACCGTATAGTAAATTACTATAGTCTGTGCTCCATCAACGGAGGATTAGCAAAGATCCATGAACTCTCTCCAGAAGCCCTCTTGTGGCTAGCCGAGCTCGCCAGTGGCATGTAACTATAACGCTCCATCTCCCGACAGAGCCGATAAAATCAAGTTGTCAGAGGGGAGGAAATATCCAACTGATTTGGTTTGCGAGCAAAACCAGAATGTTTAAAAGCAAGCAAAATGTAACAATTCTGAATGACGTTTAAGCTGGAGATTACAAGCAAAAAAAAGCTCTACTCTCGCATGGCAGTAGAGCTTTTGCTAAACGCCCAATGATCCTGGAGTGTTCTTGGTTGTTGAACGTGCGTTTTAATTTGTTAGTGCCATAGCTTCTTCAGGACGTAGTGCTGGATGCTTCAAGAAGTGAAGCAAAGCGTCGGACATAATGCGAAATAACACGCGGTACAACCCTGAAACATGTCAAAGCTATACAGCACTTCTCCAGCATTATGTGCTAGTCTGTTTGATGAATTTCTTGAGCAGATGTGCTCTTTGTTTAGGCGTGTGTCTCCTGAGCTGATGTGATAATTGTTAAGGGATGTTTCTTAAGCGGTTGTGTGTTTCCATGGGTGTGTTCATGTTGGATGCTATTCTGTTGCATGTTCATTGAGCAAACATGCTCTTTGGTTCATAGGTGATCTTTTAACTCTCAAGTTGAAAGATACTTGTAAGAACACCATGAGTGGATGTAAATGTAATGTTTAAGAGAAAATAAATGGTAAAAAATACATAGTTTTTGCAATACACATACTTTTATTTACACTCAAAAGTGGAAAATAAAAAAATTTCACCCCAGGAATTAATACAATTTGATGTGTTGAACAAAAGTGGGTGACTTGCATCACGAAAATTAAACATAACGAAAGGAAGCCACCCACTTTTATTCAGCATATCAAATTTTATTAATTTCTGGGTTTAAAAGAATGTTTTTTCTACTTTTGAGTGCAATTGAACTATTTTATTTTACCAGGTAAGGCTCACTAGAGCTATTTGGCTGTTTTTCAGAAGCGACCTGGCCACAAATGAGGCCAATTAAGTGGCTTATCACGTGGGAATTTATAGCAGCCAAATACTCGAAGCACGTTTCTAAATGTGGAGGAAAAAACCGAAGGACTCGGAGACAAATCCATGCGACCACAGTGAGAACATGCGTGAAGGTCAGCATCGAATCCACGACCTCCTGTATACAAGGCGAGCTTATTAACATATCGCCACTGCGACATGTTAACAGTGAAGAACAGCATCAGTATAACCCTCAACACCTATGAACAAGTCACCCGACCTTGGAACGCACCCGATCTGGTCGGACGTCGAAAGCCAAGCAGGTCTGAGCTTGGACAGTGCCTGAACGGGTGCCCACCCTGAACAGATTGTTATAGGGCTGCGGGGCCACGTTTTGTTTATATTCAGTTGTACTGTACGTCTATGCTGCCTGCCTTTACCAATCAGCCTCCACAACCAGCAGGGCATGGGGAGGCACTTATCCAGCAGTGGATTGACAAAATGTCTCTATGCTCCTATGGGCATTGTATGGCGCTCATCTCTACCAGTAGGAATTCCACATTCCCATGGCAGGGACTATATTTAATAACTACTGACGACTCCACACAAAGTGGTACCTATTTTATGACCCTGTAGATATGACAATGATGGCTTGCTTATGTGGACCTTTGACCCTACAATAAATGAAAGCATGCGCATTGCTATGCAACAACAGTGTACGTAATGAAAGATTAATAGCATGCAGCACGAATAATGGATATTACAATTAGAATAACGATCACCCCAATTGCAAAGTAGAACAACACGATACGTATTACGCGTTTAATTGTCGTATTTTCGATCACAGTACGAAAGGCGGTAAGAGATATAGACTGCAATGGTATAACAATGCATGCATATGCACCGTTGTGCATATCGCGACACAGTATTCAAAGTGCACAGATTTAGCACTTTAATTTAAAGCGCTTATATCAAAAATAATAATGGGTACATTTTGGCAATCAAAATAGGGATACCATTACGGCATTTAATTGTAAATCATCATGGTTTTAATCTGCTTGAGGAAAACCATGATGCATACCTGTTAACCCCTTATCAGTGCCTACCTTATTAAAGACCAATTCAGACCTTATTGGTCACCCCGTGTCCTTATAAATCTCAACGTTCATCCTACAAAGTTCCATCACAAGGGAGAAACACAAAAAAATTTTTGCCCGTATTGAAACGGCTGTACGCCGTATGGACCTGAAAACTCAATTTCCCTGTACAAGAATACGGGTAAACCGTATGGGTATGACAAAGCAAATTATAATTCAATTTATTACGATGATGGTCTGCCGTTATTTTAGCAATAGTACTAATTATTATTGTTGTTGTAATTGTTGGTCTCGCGCTACCGAATAGGGAACAACAGCGGCCGCTCCGGCGCCTTGACGAGCAGCGATGTAAGCGGCCTTTCATTGGTCAGAAGCTGCCCAGCAACAGCCGCTCGGATTGGACGAGACGTCCCCCCTCGTAGCTGGGCGCGACCATTCGTGATTTGAAATGGGGGGGGGGGGGGGGGTGAAATGAGTGAGTGTCGATTATAACAATTAATACAAAAACACAAATAGGCACATGATCGACGGGACCTGGAGCGGTATTTTTTCTGAAATCTTGAATTGTCACGTGAGACGAGTCTTGTCTAGAAAATGTCATCTCCTTAGGCTTTGGAGATCCTAAGATTTTAAAGAATATTAGCAGACAACATGGCAAGTTCAATACAAGTGTGTCATAAAAATGGATAAGCAGTCACAGAACTGTCGGGACGAAGCGCTGTCGTCCCGACAGTTCTGTTCTGTTCCTTCACCTGAAGAAGGCTACTTGTGTTGTGGCCGAAACGTCGTGAAATTTTTTTGTCTTATTTTGTTTTATTGTTTTATTCTCATTCTACGTGACTTTACCGAAAGAACCAAGAAGAAGAAGAGATGCTGCTGTATCTAACTTGAGAGGCTGAAAGCACCAAGTATGGCTGGGTTACAGTGCCTCCTACTGATTACAGTTTTGAAAACGTACTGAAAACCA